TCAAGAAGAATTGTATTACAAATAATTTATTAAACATAAATAATGAAATAAGCATTTTTTTTTATAAAAATTTAATTAATTATACTAGAAATATTGTATTGTTAAATTTTGATTAATTCAAATGATAATCAATAATTTTCTGAAAAAACTTTTCATTTAATTAAAAACATTGTTATACAAGTTTGGTATTCCATGGCTTTGCTACGGTATTCTTTAAAATTTTAGGAGGCTGGTGGCTTGGATGACGGAAATGTCAATTGATTGATCCCTGAAGTCAAAAGAGATCATTTTGACATATATTTTCCATCAGTCCACGGAGTTCGAATAAGGGTCCGAGAAGTCAATTCCAACAGATCCGCCCGAATTGATATAGCCGCGGTGATCAATTCGGGCGCAGTCAAAACACGAGGGTGACACTTTAAGCAATTAGAATAGGTATCTCATTTGTGAACAATTTTTTATATATAGCCTTGTTCGAATTTAATTTTTTGAAAAATCTTGTAACTTGTAGTATGAAAAATCAATATTTGCGGATTAAAATCTCCGGGTAAGGATTCTCCGGATTTATTTATATTCAGCTTTCTCTTAGCAAAATTGCAATAACTGAATTATCAAATTATTTAATGATAAAATGATTTTTTATTGTTATTGCAATAGCTTAACAAATACCGGAGGTTAGTTATGAAACCGTATATATTGGCACGATTTTGTATCCAATTTTAAAACATATTTGAAAAAACCGGATATAATCCCATAATTAGAATTCAATTCCTTTATCAGTTAACGAGAACGTGTTTCACATTAATTGTAATGTTTCTGAATTATTATTCTCTTTCTCTATTGTAATTTATAATTCTTAATCAAATAATTTATTCATTAAATTCATGTGAAATGTAACCATTTAAAATAAATATTTCATAATAATTATAAACGAAAGTAAATTATTGAAAAAAATTATATTTCAATAAGCTCTGTAATTTTTTTTTTGTTTTGGGGTCTATTGTTCTTTCATCTATAAATTTCTCGACTTCATTGACTTCATTGACATCAGCATAATAATAACTACAAAATATAAATTTATAATTTAAATAGATCTATTATTATTTCAAGATAGAAAACAGAATAGAATTAAATTATATCTGGAAACCATGATTTCCAACATCGTCTTTGCACTGAAATCATATAAAATAATTCAATTTTTTTAAGAATCTAAATTAAAAAATAATACAATTAATAGAATGACTAAATGTATTAAGTTGCTTAAAGTTTACTAACCTCCGATTTGTGTGCTACATAGGATGCCCGATTATTATCTGTTTCTATTGCCATATTTAATAGTCCATTCAACAAATTCATGATGAATATAACAATTATAAATGAAAACGAAAGCATCAATAGAATCATTGTTATATTATCTTTAGGTGGCCATTTATTAAATATAATTCCATCTCCTATATATATTTTAAAGACAAAATATTAATAAATTTTAAAAAATTCACAAAAAAAAATAATGTATGCTTACCTATTAGGAATAGACTCATTGCTAGAAGAGAAATTGCATAACTTGAAAATAAATTAGTATAATCATCAGGAACTTTATATATGGTTGAAATAATTTTCCCACCGAAACTTGATTATATTTTTCTGTAAGGCTCCAAGAATTATTTGGATCAGTTAACTTATTTGGATCTGTAAAATTACCTGCAGGAAACAGAAGAAGTGGGTTCTAATAAAATCATAAACGCGTGGGCATAACTCATTGTAATAAAAAATAAAATAAATAAAAAGGAATGGTAAAATTTTGCGAGCAACACCAAGCATAATAGCAAAATTAACTCCGAATAGTTCAAATGCTCGAAAAAAGAGTATAAGTTTCATTTCAAGTATAAGACATGAAATTGATACTAATGATATATTAACTTCTCCATTTTTGTACCAAATAATTGATGTATAAGGTAGGTAATAAATAAACAGCTAAGTCTAAATTTAAATAAAAATACAAATAAATTTAATATTCAAAGAAAGATGTAGACATATAATAACTAATACATACCAAAGTAATCCAAATATTTAATGACCATCTAAAAGGATTCCAGAAAAATTGACGAATTTTAAATGTAAGATGAAAACAGCCTAAAATAATTGACGCCATTAAACTGTTATTTCTACCTTCAACTATTCTTGAAGCCTGAATAAAATAACTAAGAAATATAGTATGAAATAACCAAATTCCTAAATGATAATAATTCCCATATACATTCCATTTAAAATTAATTAAAGCTTTGCCATTCCAAGTTTTATAAAATTCAAAACTATTTGTTTCTACAAATGTATTGGAATGGGGAAAGATAAAATCCTCATTAAATTTTGATAAAAATGTTAATTTAGCAACATATAAATAATGTGAACCGAATGTAGCGATTAATTAATGTTAATGTTAAATAAAGTATTACTGCTGCACTTTTAAAGCTTTGAGTGAATCGATCGTTGTCGCAAACTGAAATGATTGAAGTTCTCTTTGTGATTGAATTACTTTTACTATTTGACATCGGATGAAATCCATCCTATCATAATAACCATTAATTTCAATGTTTTTAAGGTAATTAATGGAACCACTGAATAAGATGAAATCCTTCTAAGTCAATATGAAGACTTACAATGTCTGACATGAATTTGGGGCTAACGAAACATTTTCAATTATCCAATAGAAATTTAGCATTTATACTTAAACTATTCAAGGAATCATCGTGGTTTATGAATAATTTGACTAAAAACATAAATATAAAGAGATACATTTGACTTTATTAATTCCGTAAATTCGACATTGCACTTTCCGCCTTCGTTTCAAATGTTAATTTGATTATAAGATTCGATTTCGATTAATGGATTCTAATCGAATTTTTTTTATGGACAAATGATTTTTAGATCATAAATTTAATCAGAACTAGGTATTAAAATGATTATTTAGTTTCGTTCTTTAATCGATTCTAATTTTATTTTTTATGATAAAATTATTTTATTTTGTTTTTGTTTTTCTTACGGGTTGGATTATTTAGGAAACTTTTTTAAATTTTTTTTAAATATTTTTTTAAATATTTATTTTTATTTTTTTTTATTTTGATCATTAGATTCTTGGATGTATGAGTTGTTTCTATTCATTTAATATTTCGTCTTTTTTTTTTTTAAAAAAAAAAGAAATTATAGAAATTATTTATTATCGAGCGATTTTTTTTATTTGATAATTCACTTTATTATCATTTCCTCTCAAGTAAACAAAGAATCGTTTGGTTCTCGCTTAATTTTTCTTTATACCGCACTTACTACACAACTAAAATAGATTCGACTTTATAATTCGATTTTAATAGAATCGATTCCAAACCCTAGTGGGGGAGGGGTGTTCGATTATAATAATTCTAGTCTCTTTAATCGCAATGAATTCATGGTGGAATACATGTCTAAATTTTTTAATTTAAATCAAATATTCTTTTTGAGGAGGATGGGCTTCTTATAATTCTATAAAATCGCAAATATAATACATTTTAAATCATAAAAAATGCCTTGTTTATATTGTTTAATCAACTAAATAAGGTAATGTTACAATAATTCAATTTTGAGATTTAAATGCAGTGAATTTGGTACAATTTGCATTTAAACAAAAAAAAAAAATGAGAAGCATATTTTGTATTTTTGAAACTGCTAGACTAAGGAAGTTATTTTATAAGTCTATACTTTTGACACTAAACTTTCGATCATAAGGATAGTTTATAAAGTATTATTGAAGAAAAATAAGTTATAGAAGGGATTCTAGGGTATAGAAAAAACATTGTTTAAAACATTCATAATGATAGTTTCAGTATTAAATTTTGAGCTAAAGTTATTAAAGTTAAGCTTGGCCAAATTAATAATTACCGCAGTATGTGATCATTTGATTTTGTTCGGAAAATATTTTCGGTTGATCCAAATTTGGTCATGATAATTCCTTTTATATCCTTATTGAAATTACAATTTAATTTTTTTTTCTTTTTTTAAAAAAAAAAATAATGGATGTAAATAGCCATGCAAATGAAGTTCAAGACCTAATAGAATCTGATTTCATCAAATTAAATGTCTCGGAAATTAATAAATGTTCTTATTGTGATAAACCATTTCCAGAGAAATTATGGTGTAAAGAATGTGATCCTCGGTGTATAATTGAAGGATGGACTAGTGAAAATTCTGACATTGATCAATTCATCAAAGATACAATGTATGAAGCAAGAAATAATGAACATAAAATATTTATTGAATGTGTGCCTTTTGATAGATTCGAAGATATGAAAGAAATTGGTGAAGGAGGATTCGCCAAAGTGTATTTTGCAACATGGATCGATGGTAAATCAAAATTTAGAAAAGAAGTTGATGGAAGTTATAAGAAACTAAATCTACAACCTATTACAGTAGCTTTGAAAAGGTTAAATGGATCAAGGGATATGTCAGCCTATTATTTTAATGAGGTATTTTAATTTACATTTAAATTTGATATTTACTAAATAAAAATTTTTTATGCTTAGATTTTTATTACAAAAAACTAGCTTAAAGCACATTGGGAATATTATAAAAATTATAGATATAAAACATTAGCATTTTATGGAATAACTAAGGATCCAGAAACTAAAGAATTTATTATGATCGTGCAATTTATACCTAATGGAAATTTGAGAAATATTCTTTCAAATAATTTTAACAACATTTTATGGAAAGAAAAACTACTAAAATTAATTCATATTTCTAGTGACCTTACTAGTTTACAAAATTTAGAATATTGTCATAAGGATTTCCATAGTGGAAATATATTGCAAGATGGAACAGGTTCTTACATTTCAGATTTAGGATTAACAGGACCAGCAGATAAGCAAAAATCGAATGACAAAATATATGGAGTATTGTCATATATCGCTCCAGAAGTCTTGAATGGAGAATCATATACCTTAGCCTCTGATATCTAAGGTTTTGATGTAATTATGGCTGAATTATCAACTGGAAACCCTCCCTTTTATGATAGAAAACATGACGTGTTATTAGCCTTAGATATTTGTAATGGACTTCGTCCAGAATTTGGAAAAGGAACTCCTGAATGTTATAAAAAATTAGCTTATAAGTGTATGAATGCAAATCAAAATCAACGACCAAAAGCTATTAAATTGCATAAATTATTGAATTTTTGGTATGATTCTATTTACGATAATGCGAATTATAAAGATACTAAAAAACATGGACATTTTGAAAAACAAATAAAAGAAGCATTTGAAAAAGCCGATAAAGATATACCAAATATTTCAATTTCACGTAAAACTCATCCTGATGATGTATATACAAGTAGAGCATTTGCGTTTATAAATTTGACAAAACCTATTAATTCGTCTCTTATTACTTCTTATCTTGAAAAAGATGAAAATAATGATGGTATTATCTAAATTTTATTTTGATAGTGAAAATATATATATTAACTTTAATGCATTTTAATATATCAAGATTCTCAATTACATGAATTAGAAATTTCTAGTTCATTACAATTAAAAGGTAATTTAATGAAATATTGATATATTTAAATATAAACTAATACCGATTTTACATAATGATAGACGTCAATTATTGAAGGTTTGGATATTTCTGGTCTTAGTATTTGCTCATGAGAAAGTTTATAAAGTTAAGATTAATTAATTACATCATCATAATTTTCGTTAAGGAAATCTGATAATATTATAGAGATGGCGCTTTTCTACATTGAGATTAATAACAATAATCATAGTATTAGGTATATCTTTAGAAATTTCAAAATATTAAGACTACATTTTCAGATAACATTTTTAATTTCACATTTGACAGTTTATATTTGTTATATGGAGAGTAAAGTTCATATTTCTTATATAAAGAAGAACTGAAAACCCTATAAGAAGGGTACTTCTTCTTCTTCTTAGAATATCTGCTTATAATTTTATTAAATTTTAAATGATAAATCAGATGATTATATAAACTTTATATTTTAAATAATTTATACTCAAAAATGATTTAAAATTACCATTTTAGAATTTTTAGATACATATCTCTTTATTATTAATATAAATTTTAATTATTAACTTTTATAATTTTGGTGACTTCATATAGATTATTATCAGTAATATGAAATAATAACTTGATTAGTCAAAATTCCAAAAATCAAAATAAAACAGGTTAATGTAAATTATATAGTTCTAATTTATTTACTGGACTTTCTTTATTTTTTTTAAAAAAAATTATTTATAAAATTATTTTCAATGATATTTTAAAGCCTTTTTTTTCATTATATATATACTTTTCTTGTAAAAGTTAAATACTTTAATAATAATATATATAGATAAATAACATTATCGTTTAAAATTGTTAGAAATTTAGAAAGCAAAAATTTATATAAAAATGACAATAGTAATACCTGAGTTTATATTATAATTATATATTTTTATTATCATTTGATACATCATATTTGTTCGTTTCTCATTTCTTGACAACTCATATGAATTCAATCCTGCTTCTGTTCGATGTTGTGATTGTAAACGTATTTGTTCTCGTGAAATTCCTGTAATTTACAATCCTTGAATCATTGTTTTTCGACCTCTATGATTAGTTATCTTATGATTTGTAAGATCAATTTCTATTAATCTACATATTTTACGCATAAATCCTTTTAAACGTGCTTCACCTAAATAAGAACATTTAAACCAAATTCCAGTCTGCAATGCTATAATAAATAAATTAAGTTAATTTAATTTAATGTTAGAAAAAAACAAAATAAAGGTGAATTACCTCTTTCTTCTTCATGTTCTTGTAAATAAAATTATTCATCAGCTGAAACAGGTCTTTTTGCAAAATATGATTCATAATCACTAATTATTTCTACCTGATTTGGTATAGTTAATATTTCTGCTTTCTTACGATCATTTAATAGCCTTCGTTGATTTGTTTTTGAACGATAAATATATATATCAAAATCTCTATCCTTTCATTTTTTAAGATTCTTTGCTTTAATTAATGAATGCTTACCTCATCTTAACCCAAAAATTATTGCATTATGAAAAAATACCCTTCTTAACAACCTTTCAGGTATTGATTCATCTACAAATTTATGTGATAATACTTGTTGTATTTCTGTAATGCTTAATCCATCAGAACCTTTAGTTTCTCTGTATTTAAGATCACTTAAATATTTGATCTTTTCACTTGCAGTCTCAGATAGAATAGTAAAAAATATTGACATATTTAATAATTGAATTTTTATTCAAATGTTGATATAATGCTGCAATTGCTGATTTTACAGAACTTGTTGCATACTCTTCTCCATTTTTTTGTTTCATTGATGCAACGTAACGTATTTAGCCAATTGCTGATCTAATTCATCGATATCATTAATTTCTTCTATTTTTCCATCATATCCTTGACTTTCGTGAAAATTTTTAGAGCTTTTACCTAATTATTGGTAGAATAAAGAGTATTTTTTACTTGATTTAATTCTCTATAAAAAACAACATCTTTTGTTACATTTCTTTGTTCTTTAGACTTTTCTTTGAACTTTTTATATGGTATTTTTAAAATAATTAATTAAAAAATTTATTAGAGGAAGAAAAATTAGATGATAAAAGTTTAGCAAAAATAAATTTATAGCTTAATTTTTACAA